CCACCATTAATTTAATTCTAGAAGCTGCTTCTGTCTTCTAATAACTTGAGTGCTCTGATATTTCAGGAAAGCAACCACAAAGTCCCTCAGAAAAGAAACAGAGATTTGTAACTATTGGGAGTTTATGGTGGGCAGTGAAGGGGTAAGGAGACACACATACTCAAAACCTATCAGTTGAAAAGGATTTGTAAAAGGATGAATAGCCAGGCTTTGCAGATAACATTTGAGAAACCCCTGCTTGTGTTTTCATTTGAAAGAAATGGCCACTGAGGATGACAAAGCGTGTGTTTCTTCCACCCAACCATGGTACTTTCTTTCACTTTCTTCACTAAAAGTAAGAGAAGCCTAAAGTGCTCAGCAGAGAAAATGCCACTTTTCAGGCTTGTTGCAAAGAGAAAAGAGAGGAAAAATGAAGGAAAGAGAAGGCAAAGGAAGTGAAGAGGAAGCAAAAAGAAAATATAAGAAAAAACGGATTTTCAGATACCACTTTAGCTGTTCTATTAGCAAAACAAAACAAAACAAAACAAAACAAAACAAAAAAAACCCTCAGCCCACTTTGTACAGGGGCCATACTGGAATCTGAAACTATCCAGTTTTCTTCATTTGCTCTCCTTCTTGCTAGATGGCATAGCTCTATACATTTCCCCATGACGATTGCTTAGAATCCCTCAGTCCAGTGACCCTTTTCTCCACTAATGGATTACTCAGAGACTTCTGATTCATTGTAGGCCCAAAATATTTTAAAAGAGCCCTCCCTCTCTTATTTCTAGACTAGACACACCTAAACTGCTAGAAGACGGTTAGAAATTCCTGGATGGGAAATTCCATTTAGGGGAATCACATACCTAGTTTTCATAATCTGTTTGGAATTTTGAGGGATGGGTGATAAGATGCTAAAAGAGAGAAATATACTTCAGTGACACTTTTAAAGTGCCACGGCAATCCTGCGTGTTTCCATGCTCACTCTAATTTCTGTCCCCCTTTTCATTGTCGTTGCCGTCAGTCACACATGCATCTATGCAATCTCGTAATACTAAGGAAACTTTGTAGTGTATTCATTTCCCTACGACTCCCTGGGTTCTGTATATGTCTCCCCACCCCGCAGTTCATTTCGTCTCAGATTCTTCTGAGTTGATTAATCTGGGGAAAAATATTGTCTCTCTGCTTTTTCACCACTGAACTCACCAGGATGCAATGCACCAGGGCAGAGGCCGTCGCGACATGAATTCGGACTCCCATCGGGCTGAATTCCTGTTTCTTCAGAATCTTGCACTGGGCATCCATTGCCTCCTTTCAATGCTCTGTGCCATATTTGACTTCTTGACCTAGAATTCTTAAGGAGAGAAACTTTTCTCAGGAATTTATCAGCTTTTCTCTCTCTCTTTCTCTCTGTCTCCTCCTCTGTCTCTCTCTGGTTATTATTTTCTATGGCCTTTCCCTCCTGTTTTTTCCTGGTTTTCTTCTTTATTCTTATTACTATTTCTCTGGCCTCCACATTTACTTCCTTTTGCCTTCTTTCTTTCCGTTATACTATTAATTCTTTCTACATCTTTAAGTTTCTTTCTCCTACTGCTCCCAAAAAGGAGACATGCAAAGAGGACATATGTGTCCTCTGAAGTATTTTTCTAGACAGTGATGAAAAACTTGGCGTAGAAGATGGTCAAAGGCAGATTACTGGTGATCAAATATATTCTTTTCTTCATCAGAAAACTGGTTATATTCTTGATCCTTCACCAGAGTACTCTGGAGTGACTGTTGCAGGGTGAAAGTCACCCTGCTACTCTCCTTTCTTCTCTCTCCATGTGATTAACAACCCTTTCTTGCTCTTTGAAACCCTCCCCTTCGCTATGTTGATAATCAACTCTCCTGGTTCTGGGTCATTTATCCCTAACCGCTGGGGTAAGACTGAGAGGTTGCCAAATGAACAGGAAATGAACAGGAAAGCCATCTCATCTTTGGAGAAAACAGACTCGAAGATGAGAAATCAAGTTGGAAGATTAGAATTTTCATGTGTTATCAGTGACATCTTCCTCCACCCTGACTTCACTTCCCATTGAAATGGATAACTGAGAAAGACATTTTTTAAAATGTCATTTAAAACCAAATTTTAAAAAAGCAAATGTATAGCTTGCTTTCTTTCTTATCTTTTTCTTTGTGCCTTCTTTCTCTCTCTCTCTCCCTCTCTCTATCTCCTTGGTAAAGTAGTGATGTGATTGACAAATAAGTCTTGCCACTCAGGAAAATAAAACCTAAGGTCAGAATAAAAACAAGCACACACGCAAGAGCATAGAATAGTTATAATGAAACAAATCTACAGAAACAAATGCAGCCGGGTGCCATGGCTCACGCCTGTAATCCCAGCACTTTGGGAGGCCAAGGGGTGCTGATAACTTCAGGCCAGCAGTTTGAGATCAGCCTGGACAGCATGATGAAACGCTGTCTCTACTAAACATACAAAAATTAGCTGTGTGTCATGGCAGGCACCTGTAATCCCAGCTACTTGGGAGGTTAAGGCAGGAGGTCGCTTGAACCCGGAAGGCAGAGGTTGCAGTGCATGGAGATCACACCACTATACTCCAGCCTGGGCGACAGAGCGAGAATCTGACTCAAAAAATCAAAATAATAAAAGTAACAAACGAATGCTGTATGAATGATTTATACTTAAGTAGGTGATCTTTTACTTAATACCAAATATTTAATAAAAATATTATTATTATTATTATTGGAGACAGAGTCTCTCTGTCGCCAAGCTGGAGTGCAGTGGTGTGATCTCGGCTCACTGCAACCTCTGCCTCCTGGGTTCAAGCAGTTCTCCTGCCTCAGCCTCCTGAGTAGCTGGGATTACAGACACCCACCACAACACCCAGCTAACTTTTCTATTTTTAATAGAGACAAAGTTTTACCATGTTGGCCAGGCTGGGATAAGAAAAGTAGATGTCAGTTTACAGTGATATATCTATCTCACTCTCATAAGAATTGAATAAAACCTCCTTTCAGGGCCTTTCTCGCTCAGTAAATCTAATTCTACTGAGTGATTGTGGAAGGGAGACTCTTGAGTGGGTGATCATACTCTAAGGGTCCTCACACACAGCTTGATGATGGGATATGAGAATGGAGGATATAACCTGTTTTTGTTGTCAGCTAAGGAAAACAAATAATGAGAGAATGGCCTGGTACAATCCTGGTGATTTAAAATCTGTCAGTTTCAAAACAAAATGAGCATTGACAGTCTTTTGTTTTTTACTTTTTTAAATTAGGCAACTGGGGTTAGGATGAAGAGTAGTTTCCAGATTTCAGTTGAAGACTTGGCAAAGGTGGATGGTATTTTATAGGACAAGGAGAGCAGAGCTTTAGGTGGCCTTCCACTAAATTGTTATGTGATTTCTCCAGTCCTTAGTGTTCCCATTCATACAACAGGAGCGGAATACCCACTTGACCTGCTTTAGATGTTATTTCCTGGAGCAAATGAAAATAAAAGACAGGAAAGCATTTTGAATAGGATGTTTCTATCATGAGTGCCATGTACATGGGGAACGCATCATGAACCTTTTCCTTGTCTTTTTCTTGGCAGAAAGACAGTAGAGCACCAAGGCCTAAAGCCTAGCCAGGATACCTGGGTTTAAATACTTGGTTTTGTCACTTAGGAGCTGTGTGATCTTGGAGCAGGTTATTAGATCTCTGTTGGTTCACTTTCATTTTGTATAAAACGGGGATAATAACAGTAATATTTATTTGATAGGCTTATACAGATTAAATAAGTTAATGTGTGTAAAATTAATATAATAGTCCTAACTGATATTTTTTGTGTTCACTAAGATTATTTTGATTTTCACTGAATTTTACCAATGACCTTTACTTTCAAGATTCTGCATAATTACTGTCCTTTATGCTTCTCTTGTATATTTCTATACCATTCCCTCTCCAGACCACATTTTAATTTCCTGAGATTCTAATTCTTGGGTATTTTTCCTTGCTAGCCTGGCCACTTCTCCCAACCATGCCAGCCTTCACCTGCCTAAACAGGTTTCCTGGTTAACATGACTCCCTGCTCGCATTGCACTTTTCTAACACATGATTGCCATCATCTTTTTGCCCTCCAGCTTCCAAACAGGTTTGAACAAAATGGGTTCTGTTAATGACCTTGTGACTTTCCTTTCTTAGAATTATTATTACCGTTTTCTTTTTTTTTTTTTTTTTCTCACCAGATTAGTCCCTGGAAAAACAAAAGTTTGTTTTTATTCTAATGAATGAGACTATGCCTTGGGGCAGCTTTAACTCTGAATCCGGTCCCTAACCAAGCCTCCATATAGGGAATGATGAAAGAAGAAAGAGAATTCAGGCAACAAGACTGAACAAAGCACACATTGGACAGGTACAGAAGGGCAGGTAGCTGGGGTAGAGGGAAATGGTCTCATTACAATCCTATACGATCTTGTGCAGTTCCATTAAGCTTGTGAATCATTAGCTTATAACCAGGTAGTTAAGGACTTGGAGTGGAACCAGCAGACGGTGCATGTACATAGACTTTTACACCTATGCCTCAGGGAATAGTTATACAACTGGTGTAACAAGTGTAGCCAAAAAAATTGCTTACTCTGGTTCCGTTGATCATTCTCCTTTTGACTTTGCGTAAGTCAGGTGGCCAAATATGGATTTCTTTCCTCTCTGTGCCTCAATAAAATAGAGGCCAGGACTATTATTACTCTGAGGCATCAACCTCAAACTCTAAGTCAGTGGGCAGGGCCGCAGCCCTGACTTCAAAAATAAATAATACAGCAGAAGTTGTTTCATCTTTGCAACCCTTGGGAGACCCCTTGGGAAGTGTTTCCATCTAATGAGCCATGATCACAGCACAGGGACTGAGTGACAGCCTCAAAGGCACTGAAATCAGTAAAAAGATTAGAGTTAAAAAAGTTAAACAAGATGGAAGGATTCAGTTTATCGTAGAATGTTTTAGGTTTATATGCTGTGTAACACATCACCACAAATTATGTGAGCCGCAAGGTAAAACAACATACTTTTATTATTTCAAAGTATCTGTGCGTCAGAAGTGTGGGCACAACTTAGTTGGGTCCTCTGCTTGATGTCTCACAAGGCTGCAATCATGGTGGCTGCTGGGCTGTGCTCTCATCAGGCATTCCCAGGTGACCCTGGGAAGATTCACTTGTAAGCTCTCTCAGGCAGAATTTATTTCTCCATGGCTGCAGGATCCATTTAAGCTTGCTTTTAAAAATCTAGACAGAGAGATAAAGATGGAAATAGGAGAGGGAGAGTGACTTTAGCATAATAGTCACTATACCTTACATAAGCTTATGTAGATGATCACACACATTCCCGCACTTCTGCTACACTCCAAGTCATAGGTCTCACTCACACTCAAGGCGAAGGATTACACAAGATCATGAACACCAGGAGGCAGGGATAATGAGAGCCCCCTAAAATTTTTCAAATCTGGCCGGGCGCGGTGGCTCAAGCCTGTAATCTCAGCACTTTGGAGGCCGAGGTGGGCGGATCACAAGGTCAGGAGATCGAGGCCATCCTGGCCAACACTGTGAAACCCTGTCTCTACTAAAAAATACAAAACAAACTTGGCCGGGCATGGTGGCGGGCGCCTGTAGTCCCAGCTACTCGGGAGGCTGAGGCAGGAGAATGGCGTGAATCCGGGAGGAGGAGCTTGCAGTGAGCCAAGATCGCGCCACTGCACTCCAGCCTGGGCGACAGAAGGAGACTCTGTCTCAAAAAAAAAAAAAAAATTTCAAATCTGTCCAGTTATCTGCCACACAAGGACTGTAGAAACTATCCCACTGATCTTTAAAAAGAGGATAAACCCAAACATCCATCAATGGATAAATAAAATGTAGAATGTGGTTTATATATACAAAGGAATATTATACAGACTTAAAAAGGAACAAAATTCTGGCACATGCTACCACATTGATAATTGAAGACACAGTGCTAAATAAAATAAGTTAGATACAGAAGGACAAATATTGTATGATTCCACCAGTAGGAGGTGCCTAAAAATAAACCAATTTACAGAAACAAAAAAATGGAATGGTGGTTTCCAAGAAAGGAGAAAGGAATTGGGATTTGTATTAGGTCTGTGCAGAGAAAGAGGATCAATAGGATGTGTACATACGTAGAAATAGATTTATTATAAGGAATTGACTTTTATGATTATAGAGTCTGGTAAGTTAAAATCTGGAGTGTGGGCTGCCAGACTTGGCTGGCAAGTGAGAACTGGGAGAGTTGATGGCTTAGTACCAGTCCATAGACGGCTGGAGAATTCTTTCTTATTTGGGGGAAGGTTAGAAGTTATTTTGTCGTTTAGGCCTTCAACTTTTGGATGAGGCCCACCCACATTATGCAGTGAAATCTGCTTTCCTCTGCTGATTAATATGTTAACCTTATTTAAAAGCATCCTGTCTGGGAACCCCATGGCCCAGTCAAGAAGACACATAAGGGCAACATGGTGGCTCATGCTTGTAATCCCAGCACTTTGGGAGACTGAGGCGGGCGGATCACTTCAGGACAGGAGTTCAAGACCAGCCTGGCCAACATGTTGAAATACTATCTCTACTGAAAACACGAAACAATTAGCCAGGAGTGGTGGCGGATGCCTGTAATCCCAGCTACTCAGGAGGCTGAGGCAGGAGAATTGCTTGAACCCAGGAGGCGGAGGTTGCAGTGAGCCGAGATCACGCCTTTGCAATCCAGCCTGGGTAACAAGGGCGAAACTCCATCTCAAAAAGAAAAAAAGACACATAAAATTCAATTCACCATCACAGGAGTTATTGCTTGTTGGGTACAGAGTTACAATTGGGGAAGATGGAAAGTTCTGGAGATGGATGGTGGTGATGGCTGCACAACAATGTAAATGTACTTAATGCCACTGAACAGTACACCTAAAAATGGTTAAAATGGTAAACACTTTATGTTCTATAATATTCATGGCATCCAAAATAACTGAGTCAGTAGAGAAATGATAATATGCCCTTTTCAGTGTGATATCGTTTCAGTGTTTTTTAATTCTTTTTTTTTTTAATGGAGTCTCGCTCTGTTGCCCAGGCTGGAGTACAGTGGCACAGTCTCAGCTCACTGCAACCTCCACCTCCCAAGTAGCTGGGATTACAGGCTTGCAACCAGGCCCAGCTAACTTTTGTATTTTTAGTGGTGACACGGTTTTACCATGTTGGCCAGGCTGGTCTCAAAATCCTGACCTCAAGTGATCCACCCTCCTCGGCCTCTTAAAGTGCTGGGATTACAGGCATGAGCCACTGTGCCTGGCCAGCGTTTTCAATTTGTTCTCAAATACTCTGCACATAATAAAAGGAATACAGGAAACAGGGAGGAGGAGGGAAATGGAATCCTCATTAGGCTGTCAATATTGGTAATTTTTCCTAACAGTTTCTTATATGTTTTATTTATTTATTTTATTTCCATTCTTCCTTTGTCTATCCTTTTCTTTTCACTTTTTTTTTTTTTTTCCTGGAGCAATTTAAAGTAAATGCTGGATATCATATCATTTTGCTTATAAATACTTCAGAAGACATCTCCAATAGATATATATCCGGTTAGGAGGTTGTCAAGGGAAAATAGATTAAGTATTCTATCAGTAAATACATACAGACATACTTACGGGTCTCTCATGTGAGAGTCTTTGTGACATAACTCAATCACGGATTTTACTGAAATATATTATTTGATGGGTAATTCAACTGTGCTGACTATTAGTACTATACAAATAACTATTATCTATTGGGTTCTTATTATGCTCCAAGTACAAAGTTTGTCATTTTTACCCAGCTCGTCATTTGAATTCCTATAGCAATGTGACATTTTTCACAAATGTAGTGTGAAAAAGCTTATCATTCTTACCCAGCATGTCATTTGAATTCCTATAGCATCGTTATCAGGTAGACATTATCCCTAATTTCCAGACAAAGACATATATTCAAAGTATTAAGATTTTCCAGGACTGCAGACTAAAGGAAAGTACTGAAACTAGCTCTTTCTGGTTTCAAAGCGCTCTCTGCTGCTATGTTACACTGGCACTATATGAAATAGTAGCCCCAGATAAATTCTAAAATTACCCAGGACACCATTGCTGGAAATGGGAACCATATGTGATTCGCCCCAAAATTCTCAGATCTATCGCCAAATAAAACAGTGAAAATTAAAAGAGAATATATGTGATTTCTAAAAGACACCATATAGAAACAGTCTGCTAAGTGAAATTAGCAAACAAACATTGCAATCAAATATTTTGGCCCAAAATTCTAACACATTTTTCACAAATGTGGTGGGACTTACTCTCTTTGAATTTCAGTTTCTGTATCTGAAGAGTGGGTACAATATTTCTCCTCTAATGCTCATGAAAAATAGTTCTCCCTTTCATAAATTGCTTAGCGAAATATCCTGAAACACCTTCAGAATCGCCACTTTCTCCACCTGCAATACACATAACTCAAGAATTTGCGTCAGCGAACTTCCCAATATGAAGCAAAGCCTCTCCTTCCTCCTACCAATGATTGAGTCATTCTTCTATTAGATAACAGTAGCTATTTAAACACTTCAGCAGAAGCTCACATATTTTTAGTTTGTTGAAGTTCGTGACTGCTTCACTCTCTCATTCTTAGCTTGAATTTGGAAATGACTTTTGATGACCTAAAGATCCAGACTATGAAGGACCAGCCTGATGAGAAGTCAAATGGAAAAAAAGCTAAAGGTACTAGGGATGGGAAAATGTGTACAGGGAAAGAATCCCAGTGTTAGCCCCAAAATGTAAATTCACCGAAATATGGGATTAGAAAGCTAAACACCCAAGTATGGGAAAAGAGAATTAATACCATTTACTTAAAAGAGAAACAAGAAGGCTGTAATGATGATGATGATGACAACTTATTTATAACAATTTATACTGAGTATTTACTACAGGTTGTTCTATATGCTATTCACTTTAAGTGTATTATTTCTCGGAATCTTCACAACATTTTGAGATTGTCACTATTACTATCTCCCTTTTACAGAGCGCTAACTGGGCATCAGGAGGACTGACAACATGAGTTTTATGGAGCTAATAAGTGGTAGAGCTAGGACTGTACCACAAACTCCCATTTATCCAGAAGTCAATACATCGGAGGGCTCGGGAACCAAATTTATCTGGTGTATATAATGATAATTTCTGTAAGTGTCTTTCAGGCACTACAAAAACCTGAAGTACCTCAGGAATTATGCAGGCAAAGTAAATGATATTCAGTGTAGTTTAGCATTAAGTTACATTTTGGTGTGTACTACTGCTTTGAAAAACTATAAGTTCTGTTTGACACATACAGTAAATTAAATTGCATAGGTATAAATTAATTCATAATCCCAGTTCCACAGACAATCTGGGTAAATTGCCTTTTATTCTATATCCATTCTGAGGGAAATGAACAGAATATAAGGAGAGAAAGACAGAAACGTATTGTCAGAAATTTGAATAAAGAAATTCCAAATTATATTTCCAAAAACAAAACAGAAATTTCTCTCAATAGAGAACATAAGTGTGAGCACGGAGTGATTTAACATTTGAGCTAACGAACTAAATTGCTATAAAAATAGTGCTGGCATTTATAGGTAAAACCAGAAGTGAACAATAGTCATTTGTTTCTTTACTCACTCATTATTTGTGTAGTAAATATCGAGGGCCTGAATTTACAATAATCATGAGATTGATTCTTCTTTCAGAATCTTGGTTAGATCAGGTACCTTCTTCAAATAATCGGATTGGTTTCTGATTAGAAAATCACTAGTAGGGGCAGCAGTTGGATTAATGATCTCTGCCTACCAAGGACACAGGTCAAAAGGGAATCTATAGAAAAACGGAACACGTACCTTCCTTCACAGGGTCCTGTGATTTTCTTTTTCCTCTAAAAATTCAGTTTTTCATTATTTAAGAGTGATGAGGCCAGGCACAGTGGCTCACGCCTATAATCCCAACACTTTGGGAGGCTGAGGTGGCCGGTCATGAAGTCAGGAGTTCGAGACCAGCATGGTGAAACCTCGTCTCTACTAAAAATACAAAAATTAACCTGGCGTGGTGGTGCACAACTGCAATCCCAGCTACTCAGGAGGCTGAAGCAGGAGAATCGCTTGAACCCAGGAGGCGGAGGTTGCAGTGAGCCGAGATCATGCCATGGCACTCCAGCCTGGGCAACACAGCAGGGCTCCACCCGCCCCCCCAAAAAAAGAAAGTGATAAAAGTATCTGATGCCCTACAGTGTGGAATGAACAGTGACCAGAGAGTTGAAAGACTGGTTGAAAGATTTACATAGAGGTATTTGCCCCTGAGGCTAGAACTAGGCAATTATTTGCAAAAGACACAGACAAGCTACAGCTTCTCTGCTAGCTTGCCACACACACTCTAGAAGCCAATAAGTATTGAATCAGAGGATGAACCATATTTATCCCTGTCAAGTTTCTATCTTCTTTTTATCATTTGTGGAGTTTAACACAGTACCTTTGACATATGAGAACTTTGAATATGTCTGACTACTGCTTGACTTGGATCATTATACATTCACACTGGAAATTATATTATTATAATATTTCAAGTCACATAGCTACTGACAATTAGACTAAAGACTTATTTTTGGGTTTTAGCATTTGTGTTCTTAAGCAAGTCAATAAACCTTTCAGTCTCCTTATTTGCATACAGAGGATAACGATATAAGTACCTTATTTGTTTATCTCACAAGGTGAGGAAACCAAATACATTGTATGGGATGTGTTCCTACAAAACCAGTAATATCTGTGTTGTTTTTTTTTTTAGTGGTGGAACACATAATTGGATATTCATACACCTGTGAGCTATGTGATATGTTTTTTTCAAAATGGTGAATATTTCTCTTGTAAAATCAAGTCTACACTTGGTGTGAGTGTAGGATATGCTGTTAATATAAGCTAAATTAATATCAAGGTTTCATCCCTACTTTTCTTTGATTAATAACCCCAGTTCCAAGTTGTAATTTTGCTGGACTCATAATTAAATAGCATAAAATTATTCATAAAGTTATTTGAGGTAATCTCAGTTGATTAACTGAAGAAAGCTTGTTTGCTTTATGTCTGACATTTGTTTATGTTACTTACAAAACACACTGTGTGTGTGTGTGCGCACATGTGTACACGTGTTCTATATTAAAAACGTCAGGCTCTCTGCACTGTGGATGAAGTTGATTCAGCCAAGCTGGACTGTGAGTTTCTTGAGGAGTAATTGTGGGGAAAGTAGATAAAGTATAAGCTTTAGAATCATATATTTAGATTCAAATATCTAGTATTGAATCCTGGCTCTGAATTTATTGGCTGTGTGACCATGGATAAATCACTTAAATTCCTTAACTCTCCCTATTTTCCATTCCTAAATGTGTATGATGAATTATTTGCAGAGCCGTTTGGAGGACTAGTGGTATGGAATGCAAACTATTTATGTCTATTTACTAAAACATAAACAGTAAATCACCAAGTACAGACAGGTTCCAGAGAATGGTTCACTTACTTGTTCCCTCTTTTTTGTCTTTCTGATTCTATCCTCTGTCACTCTAGGCCTTCAGTTTCTTTATTCTCCATGGTGGTGCCTGGTTGCTGTGACTCTGGCAGTCCTCTGCCTGGGATTAGGAGTGACCATTATGGTGCTGGGCATGCAATGTAAGTGCTAAAATAAGGAACTGATGTTTATTGGGGTCGGGGTGTTGGAAATGAGGTTAATAAATATGGTTTATAAGTTCCTTTCATAACAACTACAAACAGCCTTGATATAGATTCATTTTAGGCAAAATGTTTTTAGAGTGACCATGAAAATAAATGGGTATATTGTTCACCTTCAAATGGATAGAGCCATGAAATAAAAATTACAACTGGCAGGCATTTTTTTGTTTGTTTTGTTTTGTTTTGTTTTCATAACTTCATGGAAAGGCCGGGTACAATGGCTCACGGCTGTAATCCCAGCACTTTGGGAGGCCAAGATGGGTAGATCACCAGAGGTCAGGAGTTCAAGACCAGCTTGGCCAACATGGCAAAACCCCATCTCTACTAAAAATACAAAAATTAGCTGGGTGTGGTGGCACATGCCTGTAATCCCAGCTACTTAGGAGGCTGAAGCAGGAGAATCGCTTGAACTGGGGAGGTGGAAATTGCAGTGAGCTGAGATCATACCATTGTACTCCAGCCTGGGCAACAGAGTGAGACTCCATTTCAAAACAAACAAACAAACAAACAACAGCAAAAAAACAACCTCATGGATAGAGCCTATTTAAATTCTAGAATGATGGATAAGATAATAACTTAAAGTTACTAATCTCCGAGATCATCTGAGAGGCCCAAAAGTAAAATAAATTTTATTTAGCTTGCGGAGTTTTGATAGAGATAATTAAATACCATTTTAATGTTAAGAACCAGAAACACAATCTTAATAAATAAAACATTTAAAATAAAAAATGTTTCACATTTATAATAAGAGCATTTAGAAAAGAGAAGATATTGAGGAAAAAAAAGAAGTGAAAAGAAGGTCCGGAGTGGCCAAGAAGGAAAGAAAATGGTGCCCAGCATTCACCTGACCTGCCTGTGAATTTAGGTTGTAGATCTGAGTTGTTTAGGCTACCCAGGATCCAGGTTATTATGGCCATTGAAGTGCTATTTGCTTCTTAACTGCTGTTCAAGTTCACAAACTATTTTATTTTAAATTTGTGAATACTTAGGGCCTTTCCTAGTGACTAGGAGAAGTGCCCTTGACTCAGTGGTGGTGGTCAGAAAAATCTTCTGAGCCTTTGATCACCTTATAACAGGATCAAAGCTGCCTTCAAACCAAGCGGTCTACTTTGTATTGCACCATCAAAATCCAGGAACTGAGACATTTGACCCTTAACATGTTATTGCCTGCTTGATTTCACAACCTTCACTTTATCTTCACCCTTCCTAAAATGTACTGTGGCCAAGGGGGAAAAAAAAGAAAAGAAAAGAAAAAATGCTTTGGGGACTCTTGTGACACAGTGTGTGTGGCTGTCTCAAAAAAAGGGTGTATGTCACAGTTCTTAAAATTAGGAAGTCTGGAAGACTAGACAGAATGGGAGGAGATATAGCAGAGGAATTAAGACATAAATAGAGTAAATCACTAATGACAATTCCTACTAATAGTCGCTGAGTCTGGTGGGTGTCTATTTTAGGCTTTCCTTATTTCATTTATTCTAACGCTGTACTGGTTATCTTGTGATTGCTTTTAATTTGTAACTCAATAAAAAAAAATCTTGGTTTTTTTTTTTTTTTTAAGACAGAGTCTCCCTCTGTCACCAGGGTGGAGTACAGCGGCACTGTGATTCCCCTGCCTCAGCCTCCTGAGTAGCTGGGACTACCGGCGCGTGCCACCACCCCCAGCTAATTTCTTTGGTATTTTTAGTAGAGATGGGGTTTCACCACGTTGGCCAGGATAGTCTCGATCTCTTGACCTCATGATCTGCCTGCCTTGACTTCCCTAAGTGCTGGGATTACAGACCTGAGCCACCGTGCCTGGCCAAAATCTTGGTAATTTTTAAAAAAATTACAAGTGGTTGCAATGTTCCTGACATTAAACAAAATACTGCAGGAATATTCAAGAACCTCCCAATCTGTAATTTCTGAGTAAATTTGGGTCATTTTTCAGCAGCTTATTTATTGTCAAAATAGATTTAATTCTGTTTTGATTTCCTCAAAAAGTCCCTGGAGGGATTTTTATCTGGACTAGAACTAGAGTCTTAACGCAACTGTGATTCAGTGTCCCAGGTGTCTAACCTCCTAAAGCAACAGCAAACAAACCTAACTCACCAGAAAAATAAACTGGAGGGACAGATCTCAGCCCGGCAACAAGCAGAAGAAGCTTCACAGGAATCACAAAACGAACTCAAGGAAATGATAGAAACCCTTGCTTGGAAGCTGAATGAGAAATCCAAAGAGCAAATGGAACTTCACCACCAGAATCTGAATCTCCAAGAAACACTGAAGAGAGTAGCAAATTGTTCAGGTATTGGGAGAAGAGTGGGTGAGGAGACATAGTGGAAGCTTTCTGTCCAATCGTAACTATTTTTTGGAAACAATTCTGGGCTCAAAATTGGTCTATTGTTATGCGTATCATTATTCATTCGTAATGTTCTATATAAGAAGTTCTCAATTTCTTTTTCTTTTTCTTTTTTCTTTCTTTCTTTTTCTTTTAGATGGAGTTTTGCTCTTTTGGCCAGGCTGGAGTGCAATGGTGCAATCTCTGCTCACTGCAACCTCCACCCCCTGGGTTCAAGCGATTCTCCTGCCTCAGCCTCCCAAGAGTTGGGACTACAGGGGCCCGCCACCACGCCCAGTTAATTTTTGTATTTTTAGTAGAGACGGGGTTTCACCATGTTGGCTAGGCTGGTCTCGAACTCCCGACCTCAGGTGATTCACCCACCTCAGCCTCCCAAAATGCTAGGATTACAGGTATGAGCCACTGCACTCGGTCAATTTTTGATTTTTTAAATTTTATTTTATTTTTTTATTTTAAATGGGGTCTTGCTCTGTCATTCAGGCTGGAAAGCAGTGGTATGATCTCAGCTCACTGAAGCCTCTGTATCTTGGGTTCAAGCGATTCTCCTGCCTCAGCCTCCTGAAGTGCTGGGATTACAAACATGAACCACCACGCCCAACTAATTTTTGTACTTTTAGTAGAGACAGGGTTTTACCATATTGAACAGGCTGATCTCAAACTCCTGGCCTCAAGTCATCCGCCTGCCTCAGCCTCCCAAAGTGCTGGGATTATGGGTGTGAGCCACTGTGTCTGGCAAGAAGTTCTAAATATTTTTATCATAACAACCCTATGCTCTGTGAAATCCTTGAGAAATCTGATTTAATTAAGCATAGCTTTTGGTGGATTTAAGTTTTCC